ACAGGGGTGGGGGCAGCAGAGGCTCCTCGCCACGTTTTGGGCCCATACATGCCAGGATCCAGCAGGGAACAGCTGTCTCGGGCTGCTTGGGCTGCTACTTGCCTGGAGCTCCAGCCTCAAACCCTCTCCCCCCTGCCCCGCAAGATTAGCACACCAGCACTGGCTTAATGCAGGTGAGGAGAAAGAGGAGAAAACTCCAAGACTCTGTGCTGGATTTGGCTTGTGAAGAAGCACGTGCATAGCAGTACATGCCAGGATCCAGCAGGGAACAGCTGTCTCGGGCTGCTTGGGCTGCTACTTGCCTGGAGCTCCAGCCTCAAACCCTCTCCCCCCTGCCCCGCAAGATTAGCACACCAGCACTGGCTTAATGCAGGTGAGGAGAAAGAGGAGAAAACTCCAAGACTCTGTGCTGGATTTGGCTTGTGAAGAAGCACGTGCATAGCAGTACGCGTATCCCTCCCCATAGCAGTACGCGTATTTCTCTGCTAGCCAAATCCGGCACATAGCTCGGCATTTTTTCATCTCATCCTTCCCCCACAAGAAGACAGAGTTGCTCCTGGAGTGTTGAGCCCCCAGCGAAGCAAGGCGCTGCTACTGCCGCTCCCTGGGCCTACTGCAGAGGAGCCAGGAGCCAGTGAGGAGCCCAAGGCACCCCCTGGGGGTGCGGGGGAAGAGAACTCTGTTGAGGCTGGGGGATGGGACAATGTAGAGTGACGTGATGACATTCCTCCTGTCGCCCCACAGGAAAAGTTGCTCCTGGAGTGTTGAGCCCCCAGCGAAGCAAGGCGCTGCTACTGCCGCTCCCTGGGCCTACTGCAGAGGAGCCAGGAGCCAGTGAGGAGCCCAAGGCACCCCCTGGGGGTGCGGGGGAAGAGAACTCTGTTGAGGCTGGGGGATGGGACAATGTAGAGTGACGTGATGACATTCCTCCTGTCGCCCCACAGGAAAAGTTTTTTTTAAATATATAGAATGATAGAAACAGAGCTTGAGAAGTCATCAAATTCAGCCCCTTGCACTTGAGCAGGACCAAGTAAACCTAGATCATCCCTTATAGATGTTTGTCCAACCTGTTCCAAAAAGGGATTCTATAACCTTTCTTGGACACTTATTCTAGAGCTTAGTTACCTTTACAGTTAGAATGTTTTTTCTAATATCTAACCTAAATCTCTCTTCCTGCAGATTGAGCCCATTACTTCTTGTCCTATCGTCAGTGAATATGGACAACAGTTGATCACCATCCTCTTTATCTGAATATATGTGAAGACTTATCAGGTCTTTTCAGTCATCTTTTTCCAAGACTAAATATGCCCAGCTTTTTTTAACCTTTCCTCATAGGACAGGTTTTCTAAACCTTTTATCATTTTTCTTGCTCTCCTCTTGACACTGTCCAGTTTGTCCACATTCTTCCTAAACTATGACATCCAGAAACCTAAAGTATGACATCCAGAAATGGACAATATTCTAAATGAGGCCATACCAATTCCAAGTAAAACAGGACAATTACCTCCTTTGTCTTGCATACAATATGCCTGCTACTGCACCCCAGAATGAAATACAGGCAGTCCCCGGGTTACGTACAAGATAGGGACTGTAGGTTTGTTCTTAAGTTGAATTTGTACGTAAGTCGGAACTGGCGTCCAGATTCAGCCGCTGCTGAAACTGACCAGCGGCTGACTACAGGAAGCCTGAGGCAGAGTTTCTCTGCCTCGGGCTTCCTGTAGTCAGCCGCTGGTCAGTTTCAGCAGCGGCTGACTTGCGGACGCCTGGGGCAGAGCAGCTGGGGTGCTGCTGGGTTGGTCCAGTAGCGCCGATCCTCAGCGCTACTGGACCAACCCAGCAGCACCCCAGCTGCTCTGCCCCAGGCGTCCGCAAGTCAGCCGCTACTGAAACTGACCAGCAGCGGCTGAATCAGGACGCCTGGGGCAGAGCAGCTGGGGTGCTGCTGGGTTGGTCCAGTAGCGCCGATCCTCAGCGCTACTGGACCAACCCAGCAGCACCCCAGCTGCTCTGCCCCAGGCGTCCGCAAGTCAGCCGCTACTGAAACTGACCAGCAGCGGCTGAATCAGGACGCCTGGGGCAGAGCAGCTGGGGTGCTGCTGGGTTGGTCCAGTAGCGCCGATCCTCAGCGCTACTGGACCAACCCAGCAGCACCCCAGCTGCTCTGCCCCAGGCGTCCGCAAGTCAGCCGCTACTGAAACTGACCAGCAGCGGCTGAATCAGGACGCCTGGGGCAGAGCAGCTGGGGTGCTGCCGGGTTGGTCCAGTAGCACCGAGGAGCGGCGCTGCGGGACCAACCGGCAGCGCCTCAGCTGCTCTACCTCAGGCGTCCGCGAGAAAAGCCTGGTCTGCTGGCCGGTGTTGGGTACTTATCTTTATTGAATTTCATCTTTCTGAATTAAGATCACAATTCTCCAATTTGGTCAGTTTGAATTATAATCCTGTCTTCCAAAGTGCATCCCTCCTCCAGCTTGGTGTTATTCACATTTCATAAGTGCACATTATTCCATTATACAAGTCATTAATGACAATGTCCAATAGTATAGGACCCAGGACTGACCCCTGCAAGACTCCATTATATATGCCCTCCTAGTCTGACAGTGTTTCAACTGTTTATGACCTAACCTTATTGTAATTTCATCCTGACTACATTTCCTTAGGTTTTCTTCTGAGAATATCTTGTGAGATTGTGTCAAAAGTCTTATACAACTCAAGATATATTCCATCTATTGTTTCCACCCCTCCCACACCTACTAGGCCATTAAACCTGTTAAAAAATAAAAATTAGGTGAGATTGGCATGCTTTGTTCTTCATAAATCTATTCTGGCTATTCTTTATAATCTTGCCATCCTTTATGCTTGTGTAAACTGATTGTTTAATAATTTTGTCCAGTATCTTTCTAGGTATCAAAGTTACGTTGTCTGGCCTATGATTCCCTGGGTCTTCTTTATTCCTGTGTTTAAAGCCAGGTAAGAGGAGGTCACTCATCTGTGTAATAACAGACATTCTTCGAGATGAGTGTCCCCATGGGTGCTCCAGATCAGGTTGGTGTGCCACCGCGGCGCTTTCAATCCAGAGCAGTGTCTCTGGGGCTGTGCACTCCTAGAATGCAGGCACTGCGCATGTGCGAGTCTCTCCCCCCGCCCCAGTTCCTTCTCTACCCCATAATCATATAACCTAAAGAAGATCAGAATTCCGAAGTAGAGGGGAGAAAGGGAGGGTAGTGGAGCATCAACGAGGACACATCTTGAAGAAAGTCAGTTACTGCACAGGTGAGTAACCTCCTCTTCTTCGAGAGGGATGTCCCCTGTGGGTGCTCCACATTAAGTGACTTCAACCTGTATTTCTTTAAGGAGATGGGAATTAAGATCTGGCATGGAAGCAGTAGACAGAACAGCCTTAGATAATCTGAGGCTAGAAAAATGTCCTTGAGTAAGTGCATAGTGCTTTGCAAATATGCATTCTGATGACCAGGTAGCATCTGCACAAATGTCTGCTATAGGGACTTTTCATAGAAATGCTACTGAGATAGACATGGCTCTAGTTGACTGTGCTCTTATGCAGTCAGG